TATTAGTGCTTACTTTATTGCAGTAAAGAGAATTAGAAAAATTACATAGCTACTGAAAATATCGCGAATGAAATAAAAAATTGTTAAAATAAATAATATACGATATATGCTTAAAGGTGAGACCAGACGAGTGCAATTTTGTAACTTGTGAGTCGTGTTTTTTTAGTCTCGTAGTTTATGTTCGACTCAAATTTGGTTGGGGCGTCAGACGAACGTAATTTATTCAGTTGCTTTTAAGCGTTTATTTGGGGCATGTGTGGTATAGTATAATGGATTCATTAAACATAATGTCCTTAGATGATGTTAAACAAAGAAAAAGAAGCGGGCTACATCCACTCAAAATAGATATATGGGCCATTTCATATGAAAGCTTATATGAACATCTAGATCAATTTGTAAAACATTACCACATGCCAATAAATGTTTCCCTCGCCCATCCGTCCACCCACACAGGCACGCGTCATTTACACAGGGCGACCGTGAGTCGGCAGACAACTAATTTTGCATCGTCGTCGTGTGGCACAAACCGGACTTCTATAGGAAACCGAATGCAGCGTAAATTAAGCAACTCAAAAAACGCGATTTACAACTCACAAGATTACTCTCGTCTGGCTTCACCTTAAAATAGTAGAGAAAAAATATATCAAACTTTATATAGTAGGTGAAAAGAATGACAAAGAGGGCCGCGCCCTAGGCGATCGTGCCAGGGAAGCAGGCAGCGTTTCTCCTTTGGAAAGCTAAAGTTATTATTGTGTTATTGAATAAGTGAACATTAGATGAAATGGTTGAATGCGCTTGACACGTGAATAAGTAAATATCACGTGATGATTTTGCGCAATCCTCTCTCTTTTGCACCGTAAGTTATCTTGTTATTTTTCTATGCAAAATGTTTACTCACGTTTCACTCATAAGTGCTACTAGCGCTTTACCATCCGACTGCTAATAAAAGAAATAACAAGCTGCAACAACGGAGAGGACTTTCTACTCGTAAGAAAATAATAGTAATACCACAAGTACAATTGACTGCCGTTGTCATTTTTGTTATCTATATAATTTGTAATATCTGTCTATGTAATTTGCAAGAGATAGCTTATTCATTTAGTTACATTTAATAATACATTTACAATAGAAGCATAATGTGCATATTTGTATAAGTAATAGGTATTATTTTACTTACCTAATTGACTTACAAGTTCACGAATATCGTTCACTAATAAATCCAACTTGTATGAAGATACATCGTCCGGTCTTTCTGAATCTCCATAGCCTCGCATGTCAATTGCTATGCACCTGGAATATGAAATAAGAATTAAAAGAAATTACTAAAATACTCCATTTTAAAATTGAATCGAGACTTGGGTGAACCACCTTATTAGAAGTCATTAAAATCTGTGTAAGGACAATTGAAAGCGAAGCATGTGAGCTAAGAGAATCGAGGATAGCTTTGATCACACAACTGATGTTACATTCTAGCAGAATGTTTAAGGAAAATACAATGGACAGGATAATAATACGCTCTTGTCCGCTGACGTTCAAGCCCCTAACAAAATTTAACATTACGCTGTAGATATTTCAATACTCAATACTCAATATATTTATTGTCTTCATATGAAATTCAAATAATGTTTCACATATGAGCCCTGTGTTAGGGATAACAACAAGAGCAGAGGCAGGCCGAGGCTTAGATTAGTCAATTCAATTGTTCACTATCAATATATGTATAATAAAAGTATATCACTGAGAAAATTCCGATTAAATTAAATTGCAATATAATTAATATGAATATATAATAGAACATAATTCAAGATTTATTTATTATGTCTTAATTTAATTATTAAAATTTATTACAATATTATATTTTGTCATTAAAGTATTCACTTAAATTGTAGTGACATTTATTAATTAGGTATAATTTTATTATATTTATTTAATTCATTCAAGTAACAGGATGAAGAAGTCGTGCTTCCACAGTCGCAGTGACATAAATTTCACAAATTTCATATATCTGTAGTTTCACAAGCCCACTTAAAATCCGAATGCAACAATACTCGCATTACTGCTTGGCGTAGACATGAGCGCCGATAATAGGCCAAATTTTTATCAATTCGATCAGGCGCTCCGATCGTACAAACGCGCACGCTTCCAAATTGTGTATGCGTAGTGAAAATGGCGACGCCAAAAATTGACAAATAAATTTTTTAAACAAAACATCTTTAAATATAAAATCACTAACTAACTTTTGTCACCTATCGATGTCACCTCTGCTGAGGCCCGACGGCACGCTGACCTATACTGCAGATGACAAGGCAAATCTTTTTGCCTCACTCTTTGCAAAGAGTTCGCGTCTGGATCTAATCTTACTACATACGCCAAAAACAGGTACTTAGAACTCTGCAGAATCTAGACGTGAATAAAGCTAGCGGGCCAATTGGATTTCCAGCACTAGTCCTACGTAACTTTGCGCCTGAGTTGTCTCCTGTTCTCACACGCCTACGCCTGTACCGCCTCTCATTTGAGACTGGTGTAGTTCGCAGGTCGTGGAAGCTTGCAAACGTGCAACCAGTGCCGAAAAAGGGAAGCAGAGCTGACTCTGTCAACTATAGACCTATCTCAGTCACTTCCATACTCTGCAAGACTATGGAACGTGTACTCAACAACCATCTCTTGTCGTACCTTGAAGACAACGACCTCCTCAGTGATTACGGATTCCGACGAGGGCGATCAACTGGGGATCTTCTTGTGTATGCCTGTCGCATATGGTGCGAGGCTATAGAAAAGCAAGGTGACACAAATTCAAAGACACTTGCAGTGTCTTTGGATATTTCTAAAGCCTTTGACAGGGTCTGGCACGCAAACCTTTTAAGTAAGCTTCCCTCTTATGGGTTTCCGAGTGACCTTTGCATTTGAATCTCGGAGTGGTCTTAGAAGGCTACTCTTCCGAACATATGGCGATAGATTCCTCAGGGTTCCATACTGTCTGCAACTCTCTTTCCGCTGCATATCAATAATATGTAAATTCCAGGTACCTTTGCGTATGCTCACGATAACACAGTTGTAGATAGGTACTTGACCAATGCAAGGGTCAGTGGAGAGGAAATCCAGTCTTGTCGAGAGTCCATGGTTAGCCGTTTGGATTTGACATTCAAAGCTGTCTCCGATTGGGGCGATGCCAAATTTAAAGTTATCAAAACTCAGGCGTGTCTATTCTCTACAAAACGGAGTCCCTTTGGGCTGAGTCCGACGTTTCGTGATATATCTATCCATACCGATAGCCGACTGTCTCCAGCTAATTGGAATGGATCAGTCGTCCAATTTGTACTTCGGCAGATACATTGAATCCATGGCCAAACGTGCAGCAAGGAAGCTTGGGATCCTTTCCAGGGTGAGGCGATACTTCACACCGGGACAAGCACCATAGCTTTCTACGTTAAGTGGCACAAGCACGAGACAAGTGGCAAGAGGCTTAACACTTAACTTGACTTAAGGTACACCTTACTACAAGGCGCACCACTTGTTCGTCCCATCACTTGATATAAAAAATGTAATGAATGCGTAAACAATTTATTTTGGCCTCAAAAATATATTTACATAAAAAATCATATGTTTGGATAGAAAATGTCAATTATCTAAAATTTGTCTTAATTCGTTCATGGACAGTAACAACGTTTACCGTAAAATTAAATATTAGAATATGACAGTACGGGGTACTCAGTTTCGCTATATGGTTCTCAAAGAAATCAACTATGGGCTTCCTTCACAGTGCGATTTCCAAGTGCTTTCTGTGTAATTACCACCTACTGCTTTTTCATAGAGAAGTATCAACAACGTACTGAGAAAATTCAATGATTTACTTACATTGAACATTTTATATTGAATCAATATTATATGGCAGGATAAGTACTGACGTCTTTGTGTGGGCCGTTCTATTTAAATACTGGCCATGAAAGGGTTAATTGGTATTATAAACCTATTTAGACAATTCCTTTAAAAATATAGGTACCGAATTAATTGCCAGTGTATATATATATTACTCTACTAAATTATTCAACAAGGTTTTCAATACACAGTAAAACTTAACCATATGCTATTTATAATTATGTTAAAGTTGACCAAATCCCGTGCACATCCTCTTATTATATAAGTTGCCCTTTGCACTTGGTGCAAACCGGACACACTCAATCGATTTTGATGTGTGTAGAGTATATATAAAGCTACAAGTTCTTACTCACTTAGATAAATGGCTCGCATACCTCCCGATACCTATGGAACGCATACTTCCCGATATGGTGGAAAAAAGATATTTATACCGTTGTACGCGGATAGGTTTCAAAGTAAAGGGAAAAATACGAAATTATCTGAATGTGGAAAATAAAAAGAAGTGATCTCTGATTTGCGCACTTTTATGGGGAACACCCTGGCCAATTTCCACCGGAATTAACAATGTTCGAAATTCAAATTTAAAAATCCGAATTTTTCTTTTTTAAATTTATTATAAAAATCGATAGATACCTAATGTATGTATTGGAAACTTTAATTGGTGTGCATTCATTTAAAGTGGTATAAATGTATTGGAGCATTTAACGTTAAAGTATTAGATATTTATAATTTTATTTTTTAAAAAAATTGATATCTTTTTACTCATTAGGTAACGTACTTTCGATGTCAGTTTAAAGGTTTTTTATATCTCTTATATTTACGGAATGATCGTCTGGGAATACGCTTGATTATTACACCCTATACAGGGTATACTACACTTTATTTTCGTTACATATTTTTGAAGGCCAGATAATATACATTGAACATTAATGATAAATGACCTGAAATAGACTGTAAGATTCATTTTTAGTTATACAAATGAAGAACACTTTATTTAGTCAATTTTGGAGAACATTTTTGTTAACTTGCTTGGTATATTGTTAAGAAGTAAATGTTATTATAAACAGGGAAATAAAATAAAACTATGAAGTTCTGAATTCAAATTATTATAAATGACAATTCTAATTACTAGACAATGACAAGACATGATTTGTATTCGTGTACATTCGGAAATCCGAAGGTCGCCGACAGATATTATAAATTAGCCATTGACTTACAAATAAATGGACGACGGGTCTAATACAAAAACCACGAAAAAAATGTCCCAAGTCAACCTATTCCAAATTTAAATTGTAATGTCATCGCAGTATCGCGCTGTCAGTCGAACAAATGAAGACTAAAGCGGAGTTTGGCGCTCTGTATACGATTTTAGCGCCTTACAAGTGCGGACACTTTTTAGCGCGGACCCGACGTCCATATAATTGTAAGTCAATGAAATTAGCTCTACGTTTTGATTATACGTTAATCCGAATTAAATTTGTCTCATAAAAAAGTTTTACACCTAATTTACTCACCAATAGTCCTTTTGAAATTCAAGAATCTGATGTCGCCAAGAATACCAGAACTCAGGGAAACCATGGACGAAGATCATCAAAGGCTTGGAAGGATCTCCGCTCTCCACATAATGTAGTTTTATGTTCTAAAGATATAACAATTATATAACTAAGTATAAACGAGCATCGGTTAGTCCCAGGAAATGCATATATATATCTGCAATTTTCTATTATAAAGTACATTTGTGACTGTTTAGTAGCAGTACATCTGGCTAAGACTCAATTTACATTATCTTTTGTGTAACGGACGTAAAAACTAGATACGAGTCAGAAAAACAGGTCTTCCTGAGAATTGCTACAGCTACCGTATAGTATTTTCTACAATTTCTTTACAAAAAATCTCTTCCATTTCCTTCCGCAACAATATAATTACAAACTTATAGTGAAGGTGAAATGTGAAGTCTCCAACCAATTGGGCCCTGGAGACTCTTAAACAGTACCAATAAAGATAATTATAATGCCAATAACAATACCTCCAATGAACACTACGCCAACTTTATTTTTGGTGATTTTCTGTTATTTCTGTAAACTGCCATGTTTATTTACTAATATTACGCCCAAATTTTGTGCTAAAGAAAATATAAAGAAACAAAAAACAAAATTAAAAAAAACACAATATAAAAACAGAACAGGTCCAAAAATTAAATCATCGCAGTTTTCATTAGAGATATGGATGTTGATACACGTATAATAGAATAGTTAATACGATACATTATGCCACAGTTTCTTTTTTCAGGCTATTTAGCAGTGTGCCGCTGATGGCCTTGAATGCTCTACGAGGCAAAAAAGCGAACTCAAAGGCTCTTAACCCCTATTGTAAGCTTGCATAGGCGTCCAGGTAGGCACTGAATAGTCTTTGTTTTATATCTATACGCGAACGTGCGCCTGGTGGTTAGCAACACGCATACCCATACATAACAGTTGCACTGCCGCTCAGAGTTTTAAATAGCAAAGATCTGAAGGGCATTACCAATACGCCTGTCACCTTGAAACATACATTGAGGAACACTGGCTCTCATGTCAGGCTATCCTACTTTGAGAGTCAGGGAATATATCTGTAATGTTCTAACTTTACGCTAGATTTAATGTCTTTACTGTGAACTAACGCTTGGAAATAAACATTATTATTATTATACATAGTTCTGGCCTGTGTATTCTAGGAAGTACTCCAGAGTGAATTCCATTGCTCTGGTACCCATAATAAAAGAATTCTATAATTCACTTGATTCTTTTTCTTAGGACACCAAGTGACGGAACGAACAAGTCGTGCGCCTGCTGATAAACGACACGCAGTTGCAGTGCCACTCAGAGTTTTAAGTCACAAAGATCTGACGGGCACTGCCACTTCGCCCGTCACCCTGAGACATAAATTGACAAGTCCCATGTGCCTGTAATTTCACCAGCTTCCTTACCCTTCAAAGCCGTAACGCAGTAATTCTCACATTTGTGCTTATATATATCTTGCTTATCTGATCTTTGTGATTTAAAGCTCTGAGTGGCACTGCAACTGTTGACAGGCGTGTAGCTTACCAGGCACACGACTTGTACGTCCTGTCACTTGATATTATATAAAAGGAAACTCTTTCACAAGGAACTCTATTGATAATAAAATAGATTGATTTTTTTTTGTTTCTCTGCGTTACACAAACGCATACAGAGAGCTGCAAGAATTAAATTTCTACGAGGCTGCGTATGTACACGCATTAATGAACAGTGCATCGTGCACATTTCATCAAAGGATTGAAAGTTATTCGGTTACGTGCGATCGTGACGTTGAAATCGTTATTTGCTAGTGCACAAGAAAAACTTTCCGCTTTCTGGTTCCAACCACTATGTTCTTCCTGATTGTAGCCGACTTAGGGTTGCCGATAAGATTTATAATTTCTCTTTATAAACGACGTTTGGTACACGATTGTCTAGACAAGACTGTTTATGCTTCTAGATTCATAAGTATTAAAATAGATACATGTAAACGAAATGTAGAGTACCTGACATTTTTTAAAGGAAATGGATTATTTGCACATTTTAAAAGAATTTGAAAGTAAAACAAGTTTTTCATACAATTTAATTATATGTAATATCCACGTAGTTATATATTATAAAACCAAGACTTACAGTGAACAAGCATTATGTAATTATAATATGTGCGTATTCACGTACATACAAAACAATTTTATTTACCATAACCATTTAACCAGAATAAAACTGTAAATAGGTTTATTTGTGTATAATAAGCATACATTTATTTTTATATTACGTATTTATTACATTGTTAAACTACTTGCAATCGAACATCAGGTAACCGTTAACAATTACGACTATTCAGCAGGGCTAGTTGTTATTTATTTTTAATAATAATAATAATAAATAACATGCCAGAAAACCACATCAATTGCCTGGCCTCAAACTAGGGAATTCCCTGTACTATGAGTACTAGAGCCCCAGATACACCCAGACCAGAACCAATTTAGAAACCATCATTTCCCAAATCGGTCCTACCGGGAACTGAAACCAGGACCTCCTCGTCAAGCGCCCATGATATAAGCCGTTGGGCCACCGAGATCGTCAAAAACTATATAATAAATAATATTACCTACTTATGACCACCTACTACCATTATTGTTTACTACACCAAATACCTAATATATAAGTACCCTGTATTTCGATGTAAAACATTATAAAAAATAATACGATGATTAGATTTAATAAGTATGGTTGGAAGACGTAGTTACGAGGGGTCAAAATTTTACAATGTTTTCCTTACAAGAAACCTTGAAACTTTACTTACTCGTCAAAAATAGTTTGTAAGTTTTATTGAATGTCACGATGTTTGACCACTATGATACTCAATTATTTTTGTGAAGTTACTCCTCTAGTTTGTTATAATTATTAATACAAAGATCGAACACTTAGAAAAAATTCCTTCGATCCAGGTAGATTCGAACCAACGTCTTCCGGCAAACCGGACCAGACGCTATGCTAACTAAGGCACGGAACGAACTTACGGACCTTACGAATTTTTCTGTGCTTGTTTTCTGTACTTACATTAACTTTAATATATTTGTGTGTTCCATATTTAGGGTCAGTCAGACACGGGGGTGGCTCCAATCTCAACTTGAGAGCGAACGGATCCCCGAAAGGATTCTTCATATAGTTGAAGGCGAACATCAATAGAACACATACATTATAATATAAAGTTAGAAAATTCGCTACTATGAACCGATATATGTACGTTTGGACGCTCATTGTGAGAAACGACGTCCGCAGAACTCGGCTGTTTTCGCCTGACTGGCGTACAGACTAAAAACTTCACTGTTCAATATACAGCGAGGATATACAGTGATATACAACTTGTTCACGTTCTTATTGTACGTACACTTATCCTGCGAGAAATCGCTGTCGCATATTAAGTAACAATTCCGCTCATTCATAAAAGTGTTTAAAAAAGTGTAGTGTATAGAAAATAATAACTCAAAGACGTTAAAATAACGTGTTCTTAGGTTCTCGCGATTGTTACATATAGGAAATGAAACTATTTTTCTGGATTTAAATCGCGTATATTTGTTTTTTCAAACAAACCGACGTTTCGGGCGCTTTACAGGTCCCATGTCAACCGTGACCATGGAATGATATTAAATCTGGAAAAATAGTTTCATTTCCTAGGTTAAAATAAAATATGTGACCGGTCTTAAACAATTTATTTTACATAAGTATGAGTTCATAAAAATGTACATTATAAATATATTGAATACATTTGACTACATAAATGAGAGCTCTATTTTTGCTTTGTCCTTTCGTACAACTACTTCTTTATTTATCTGACGTAATGACCTTGCAAAGAACGTCTGGAATTAAAGACGGATCAACACGCGCTTCAAAATTACCTTAACACAAACAATATTACGAAAATATACCATTTTACGATTTTACTCAGTCTAACAATACAGACTAGAAAGATAAATTAATTTTTTTTTCACCGACTTCAAAAACGGACGTTCTCAATTCGACTATATTTTTTGTGCGTATGTTACATAATTATTCCGTGATTTGTGCACCGATTTTGATGATTCTTTTTTATTGGAAAGGGCATACCTCTCCAGTGGTCCCATTCAAATTTAAAGAAAATGCTCCACCTCTAATGGTGGCGAATTAGGGGTTGAATCTGGTTTATTGAATTTAATCCACATTCCGTTAATAAATTTTAATAAAACTTGCCACATAGATGTAATTCCACAAACTGTTGAGGTCGGTTTTAATTTAAAAAAAAAGTTAAAATTTCTTATTAATATATATTTATCGTTAGGTTATATACCTCTGTAGTGAATAGATAAAAAGAGGTCTCTACATGTAAGTAACTACAATACGTATTGTACAGATTGCAAACAAACTCTTGTACAATATTTAGGACGCACAATTCAAAAAGTTCACTAAAAACATGAAAAAGCCTTAAAGATTGTGTTTCGCGAGGAACTCTCTTATTAGCTTATTAACAATATCCGGATCTTCTTGTTGTACAATATGACGGCATCCTTTGAGGACGACGGACTCAATGTGCTTGTATTCTTTCTTCATGCTGTCAAGGAGAGTCATACCTAATGCATTGTCATGTTCAGCCATGGCATGGAGGAAAGGGATGTTCAAATCGCAACGCTTTTTTTCAGGTACGATGAATACGAAGTTCGCTCGATAATAATTAATAGGAGGCGTCAACGTGTCTGAAAAGATTTTAATTAAAATGAAGCAACTAATACAAAAGGCGTGAATCATCATCTACTTTAGAATAGCATAGACATTTATTGCAACGCCACAACACATATATACAACAAAAAATACTGATAACTCTAAACAATAAAAATAATTAATAAACAAAATAAAAATACAAAAAAAAAACATAAAATAGGACAAAACAGACAAAAAACAAAAAAAAACAAAATATAACGACTACAGCATGTTGTACTGTCATTTGTGCGTTTGTGGCGTACGCAAAGGACTTTATTAAGCTTATGCCACAGCCATAATTGACTGTGACGCTGGTTTTCAATGAGCCCTGAGTCAGAACTTTCTTAGCCACTTTCTCCTAGATCCAAAACGTGGAACTATGTACAGGCCTACCGTTTAACTGAGTTGGTTCCTAAGTTAGCTGCGCGGTGCGGAAGGAGTAACAGTTTACGTAACAGTTATGTCGCGCTGGACACAAGATACTTTCAATAAGATTTTTCTGACGATGTTCAATAATAAATTGATTGAAAAAAGTCCTACCAAATTAGTCAATTGTTGTTATGTGCAACGATCATTGACTTACAAATAAATGGACGACGGGTCTAATACAAAAACCACGAAAAAAATGTCCCAAGTCAGCCTATTCGAAATTTAAATTGTTATGTCATCGCAGTATCGCGCTGTCCATAGAACAAATGAAGACTAAAGCGGAGTATCGCGCTCTGTATACGATTTTAGCGCCTTACAAGTGCGGACACTTTTTAGCGCGGACCCGACGTCCATATAATTGTAAGTCAATGGCAACGATAATAAAAAAAACTATTTCATTGATAATTTAATGAATAGACAAGCCATTTGGCACTTTTTCCAATCAACTTGGTGATGCAATTATAGGCACATGGGACTTGTCAACTTATGCCTCAGGGTGACGGGCGCAGTGACACTGCCCCTCAGATCTTTGCGATTTAAAGCTCTGAGCTGTTCTGCAACTGTTAAGGACAGGCATGTAACCACCAGATGCACGATTTGTTTGTCCCGTCACTTGATATTATAAAAAAATACAAGTGTTTTTTTTTTATGAAATTGAATATCTAAATCAGGCATATTTGCTTCTTCAGACAAACCAGCGTTTGGAGTTCTTCACAGGTGTAACGATCACGGCTGAACGAGATGACTATAAAGCAGTAAACTACCCTATTCTGATTTAAAGGTTGTTACAGAACTTATTAATTTGAATACCTTATTTCGATACCTCCAATAAACAGTACGCCAACTTTATTTCTTGGTTATTGGCTGTTATTTTTGTAAACAGTTTAAATTACTTACTAATATTATGCTTCTCGAATTTTGTGAAAAAAAAAACAATAAACAAAATTTTAAAAGAACAAGTGTTTTGAAAAAACAATAAACAAAACAAATAACACAACAAAAACAGAGCAGGTCCATAAATGAAGTTGGCGTAGTGTTCATTGTAGGTATCGATTTTTTATTTACCAATGTTCAGGTTGCGCTACATACGATTTACAAAATATTTTATTTAACAATGTGATTATTTTTACTAAATGACATTTATATGAACAATATAAAGATAATACGATTTAGATCCAAAAAAATTAGTTTTATTTCCAATGTATAGTACTCGCGAAAATCTAAGAACTTTCTATGTACTTGAAATCTTTTGTATGTAAACTTTCATGAAACGAGTGCCTTTATCATAGTTCATTGTATCAAAGTTTTACTGAAACATTGTAGTCTATTGACCTTCCACGAACTTTCCTATGATATGATTGGTATCATTAACGTATTTGACAGTTAATTTGTCGTTTCTAAATTTGTAGCCTTAGCTTCTTTTTAACCGACTTCAAAAAAGGAGGAGGTTCTCAATTCGAACAACAACTCTGATATTTGTGAAGGAACGGTTTCGACAATTCTTTTCTTGTTAGAAACAGGATATTTCTACAGACCCATGTAAATTTGTAAAAAGTATTCTATTTTTAAGGATGGGAAATTAGGGTTCCACCCACTTTCCGTTAACCTATTTTAATAAAACTAGGTAGTAATTTACACAAATTTATGAAATGACTATTTATTAAATAAAATAAAATAGCTGAACGGGTACTATGCTGGACTGCCACGCAAAGGTACCGGGTTCGATTTCTGATCCGGGAGAAATATTTGTATGACGTATACTTATTTCTCTCGTGAGTTTGGGTGTCTGTGTGTGTGTACATGCCACCCGCAATATAAGGTTTCTCTACTGTGGGTATATATATGAAACATTTTCTTTGAATTTCTTTTTTAAATCCAGAAAGATCGAAGGAATTTTTCTTAGTGTGCGATCCTTGTATTAATAATTATAACAAACTAGGGGAATAATTATATTAAAAAAAATAACAACATCGTGATATTATTTGCCGTTTCGACTTTACAGATATATATGGTATTTACAAAGTGTCCCACTTCTGAAAAAATGGATAAAACGTCATAAACCTTTTTTATTTCTCCATTGTCGATTATACAGGCTTATTTTTAAAATACTAACAACATATGATAAAACAAATAATAATAGTTTATTAATTTTAATTTATCATATATAAATATATGATAAAACATAATAAACTGACTAAAAATTATCTTTTAGGTTTTTGTTGTACCATCTGACAGTTTTAACAGACTTTTTTGTATGTTACGCGATAACTTGTGAACCGATTTAGATGATTCTTTTTTGTTGGAAAGAGGGTACCTCAGTAGTAGTCCCATTTAAATTTAAAGAAAATATTTCACCTCTAAGGGTGGCAAACTAGGGGATGAATGACTTTTGAGGTCGGTTTGTTCAGTACTCTGAGAGTCGTATTCCAGACCTGTACTCAATGCTCAAGTTACGATTTGAGCAGACTTGAGTATGATTTCAAGCAATGGAAATACGACCCTAATGGCAAGGACTTGAGTCTAGAACACGACTCTGAGTCTGTACAGAGATAATTAGATCTGTATATGGTAAAATAAGTTTAAACGTGCAAGCGTCCTCCGCAACGATCCCACGCCCGTCCTGCGTAGACTTATTACCGTTTAGAGCAATCTATTTATTTTTGTACGAAAGTGAAATCTCTTCAATTATTAAAAGTCATGGAACAAAAGTCGTTGTATATAATATGTTCGTAATATAGTCCTACAAAGTTGTTTTTCTTTATTTTCTTTTTTTAATAATAACGCACACGCTCAATATACAAATTACACCCAAACTCACGAGAGAAATCACAGACCACATAAATATTTCTTCCGTGAGAGACATACATGTAGAAGTAACCCTGTATATTATATAAAGCGTATACATATATATGATAGGTACTTACATAGTTTTCCAAACCAATATTTGTAGCACTCGACGTCCTTTTCAGTAACAGTGTTCTTTCCCGAATTTAGGAACATTAAGTCAAATAGCGCCAGATATTTTAATTGAAATAATTTTTCTGACAGCCACGGCAAACGCATATGAAACACGTACCTGAAAACATACGTCACATTCAAAATACTTAATTACAACTTTGTGTTTCCATGCATACCGTGGTAGTCTAATGGTTTGACCTAACGCATCTCAAACAGACGTCGTGAGTTCCAATCTGAGGTTTTCCGAATATAAGTACGAAAATTTATTTGAATCGTCCTCTATTACATCATCTACTGAATGTCCGTAATAAAATGGACTTGTTTCGTCAGCAAACAATGTTATATCACCTTTTAACCCAATTTCTTTGATGCTATCGAGCCTTGAGGCACGCCGAAGGTAACCAAGTCGTTGTTTATATTGGGTGTTCCTGCTCAACAATGAGGTTTTTGATTTACACCTAAGCAAATTAATTTAGTAGCCTTAGTAGCCTAATTGTTCGACCTACCGCCTCTCAAGCAGAGACCGTGGGTTCGAATACGGGCTCGCACCTCTGAGTTTTTCGGAATTTAGGAGAGAAATTTAATTTCAAATTTACCATTAGCAATTCAATGAAGGAAAACATCATGAAGAAACCTGCGCGTCGAAGAACGTTCAAAACTCTTGGAAAACGGGTGAAATACTTAACCCTGTGCAGAGCAGCAGTGGAATGTATAAATGGCAACATCGACCTTGAAAATCATCCTGTTAACATTTTGATAGTCATATCATTCTGGTTCCTGAACTTCAAAAAATGCTTTCTTCCTTTTCTCAGTGTGCCGCTTCTCTACGAAGGTTGGCGACCATCATGACTATTCCACATTTTTCAAGCTGCCTCACGAAAGAACGTGTGCTAAGTTGGAACCAGTCTCTCAAATTCTTCAACCACAAGTATACATCAAGCCCTTTAGGTTACAGGATAAGCCAAAGAAACAGACATACTTAGGTACGCACATACTTATACATGTGGGTAGAGGTAACCCAAAAAACATTACCTCCTTATGAGGCAGTCATGATGGTAAAAATATCACATGTACACAACTTACCAGGACCTCAACATCTGTTTAGGTTCGGACCAGATTTCATTAAACCAGCTTTCCCAAGACATGCTGGCTAAAACAATGATAGCGCTGAGAGCGTCCGGGTGCACATCACGGAATCGACACGCAACAATGCCACCCCAGTCGTGAGAAACTAGGACGCATTTCTCCCGACCTGGACAAATTAACAGTTAGGCTAGAATTTCCATTACCTGGAAAATACTTACGGACTATACATACAAACAATTTTATTCGGTTTCTTCTTCCCTTACTTACTACCTGGTAGTTGATAAAAGTGTCAGAAAAAAGTCTTTGAAAAGAAACCCCTGCCACTTGTCAAATAAAATCCTATAAATTAGTTTTAAAACCTGGAAACGACATCAGTCAATATGTTGGAGTAGTCATTAATAGAAATTAGATATTTATTCCGCAACAATAGTTAAGTTAAAAATCATACCAGTTACTAGTCTCAAACTAGAGAATTCCCTGTAATTTGATTGCCAGAGTAACGACAGGATACCATTCGGAACCCCCACCAGATTCAATAGTGAAATAACCGTTTCCCTGACTGATTTAACCAGGAATCGATTTTCGGGTCAGATTTTCTCACGTATCTCCTACAGAAGTGTTGCCAATTGCAAGTCGAGATTAACCCCAGTCATGTGTTAAAGTCGCCTCACTACACCTGGTCTTGGTCTCGGTCTTGGTATTACTCAATCAGTTTTGGTCTTGCTCCAAGAATCTCGCAAGTCTTGCGAGATTACGTATCCATTGTTATATCAAATTATCATATTCTATTATTCTTACAAAAAAGTGACAACGCAACAGAGTAGATACATTTTGAATACATATTGACTGACATAAGCATAGTGAAGGTCAACTAAATGACGAATAATTAATGTACAATATTTTACTACATTTTTGCGATCAAATAAGTTGGTTATAATTTTTTGCGTAACACGCTAAACCCACGCGTGAGATCAATAAATAATACTAGTTAGCGTACATTATGGGTACAAGGAAGCGCCGAGCCGTACGTGCCGGCTCGTTAAGTTAGTTTTTCCCTTTTCGGTGTATGTTGTTCGATAATTCGCTAACTTCGTTAAGTACAATTTGTTTTTTGCTACACTTTTATCACAATTCTACTTGAGTTACGTCAGAAAAAAAACTATTTATTTCAAAATATAATCATGGACGCATTAGCTATTCGTGATAAAACAAACAACCAACTTTAGAAGAAACCGTGGTTGTGTGTTTTGGTTGATACCGATCAATATCGACGTTGATTTGAATTTGAATGCGTCAATACTTACGCCCCTTATACGAATATGACGTCTATTCGCGACGCAAAAACCTCGCACACTCATTCTTGTTTTTGCTCATATACTTGTATTGCAAGGTCAGACTTAACCTACCCAAATAACCGCTCAATGCTCCCCCAAGCCGAGCGCAACGTATTTCCCAGCGATAAAAAAAGGTTTTGCTACAATTACATATAATAAATAATAATAAATAACGCACACACTCAACATAGCTCCGCACTAGGGAAACACACACATAGACAACCACAAATTACACTCAAACTCACGAGAGCAACAAATGTAGGCCATACAAATATTTCTCTCGTCCCGGGAATCAAACCTGCAACCTCTACGTGGCAGTCCGGCATGGTAACCATTCGGCCACGGAGACAGTATGGTCTTGGTTTTGCGAAAATGCAAGAACAAGGACTGATTTGGGCAACACTACCTTACAGTGATTATACCATTCATAACATCGAGGCCGTCACAGAAGTTAGATGAAATGTTTTCTACAAAGGTTTAGTCAGGACGGCTTCTCCAAGACGTCCTACAATAGTACAGATAGTCCGTACAAGTGGTCCGGTCGTCTTTTGGCCAAAAGATAGTAGATCTAATATTGAATTTCTGTCAATCTAATAGTCTGTCTTTGTGATCAATTAGTCTGCTGGTTATCCACGGAAGCAGGACGTGACACCAATCATAAATTCGCCCGGTCAATTCTATTAACTATTTATGATATTACCTAATTGACGCACAAGGTCCCGTATGTCCTCAACCAGTAAATCCAACTTGTATGCAGATACACCATCGGGTCTCTCTGAATCTCCATAGCCCCGCATGTCAATTGCTATGCACCTGAAAAGGATTCAATTTACCCGTTGACCGACAAATCAGAAGTGTAATCATTCAACCAATCATATATCATTTTACTTCTTAAAGTGTCTAAGGGCGCTTTCAAATTAGACGCTTAAAGAAGCCCTGCAACTGTTTCGCGGTAGTCGCGCATCTATAGCGCTTCGTTCATTTTTTTACCGACTTCATAAAAAGGAAGAGGTTTTCAATTCGGCTGTATTTATTTTTATTGTATGTTACGCAATAACTCGTTTGTAAAAATAATTTGGGAACCGATTTTGATGATTCTTTTTTTTTGGAAAGAGGCTACCTCAGTAGTGGTCCCATTTAAAGGAGAAGAATCAAATATGACGTCCCGGCACAAAAGAAATCTATCTCCGAATTTTTGTTATATTAGTTAGGTAAGTAAATTCTGTATAGTTTTTGTTTTCGATATCAGTGGCTAACATATCAATATTTCCTTATGTTTTTGTTCCATATTCTTCAAAAACTATTACATGAAAGTATAATGTGACCAATAAAGGTAGGAACAACATAGTAAAATGAAGAAAACAGCAAACAAAAAATAGTTACATATTATTTTTTTGTTTTACAGCGCTTCTATAAACGTCTAAATTGAAGGCACCCTTAGGGACTCACCACACTCAATGGAAAAAAGCTTTATGTCCATGTATTAAGAGCAAAACAGGCGTTAGTTTCGTGTCAGCGCAATCCGAGCGGAAGAGAATCGCGCAACGTCATTTTCGCTCTTATTGCATAGACTTCAAGTTTTTTTTCGCCTCGAGCTTATTCTGTAGTAATAAGTGTAGTGACGAGTAATTACGAACTTAGAACTTGTACTATATCATCACTATTCTGCCCTCCTTGTCATAATTAACGGACTTCCATTTCAGTAACTTTCGAGGTATATCTTAAGTAATTTTTTGCTAATAAAAATTTCAAATCCGTTGATTTAAAAAAATAATCAATTATGTTGGCCATCTTTCGCTATTTTTCGGATAATTTTAGAATTCGCCTTTCATAAAAATTCTTGTCTTGTAAAGACAAGTAGGTAATATTTATAAAATACAGCTCTCAGGGTCGTATTCCAGAACTGTACTCAATGCTCAAGTTAGGATTCGAGCAGACCTAATGGCAAGGACTTGAGTATGATTTCTAGTGCTTTGAATCATACTCAAGTCCTAACTTGAGCATTGAGTAGAGTTCCAGAATACGACCCTCAGTGTCGTTTGTCGAGTGACTACGATGAACGTGGTGACACATCCGTCTAAACTAACTACAACAGATTGGCATTATCATGATAAAATACGACACCTTTACGATTTACAAGATGTAATGTGTGTATTTCATGAATTATTAACTTCAAACTTTCCTGCCTGTTCGAACGACCTTTTTTAACACGCTTATTACACTACCCTACCACACGCAAAATAGGCGCCTTGTCGTCGAGTTGCGGATACCAGCCCGTTGCACCAAGTACCAAAGTAAGTACACTACCCCATTTCAAGGGACCCTAACCATAATATAGGGACTCTAACTTACAAAACGTTAATAAGAAATTTAAACTTAAAAAAATAATAAGAACGGCACCCTAACTTTGAACCACGCCCACACTCAGGGCCCTTGAAATCGGGTAGTAAAATGCCAGTGGCAAATACCGCAAGGACTTTTTGGCCAACACATTACTTTACAATCCCAAATTTTCTAGAAGAAATCAGTTAATTCATTAATTTCATTGGTTTTATCACTTTATTTCTTCATTCTTAAAATTTTCAAAATACGTGACAGAATCCGTCTTTACAGCCGGCAATAATGTTTACATACCAATAATCCTTTTGAAATTCAAGAATTTGATGTCGCCACGAGTACCAGAACTCAGGAAAACCGTGCACGAAGATCATTAGTGGCTTGGTAGGGTCTCCGCTCTCCACGTAATGAAGTTTTATGTTCTAGAAAACGATAAATGTGTTGTCTGTTGTAATTTATAATTCATCGCTCAGCAAAACAGCATTTGGCTGTTTTTACGTGATATCATTGCTTCAATATATAATATTCAAAATACAACGTGAATATCGAGTTTTTAGGTTTTCGTTTTAGTTTTTTAGGAATGGTTTGTTTAAAAACAAAAACAAATATACGCGATTTAGACCCGCAAAAAAATTGTGGACGTGAATATTAATAAAAATGATGTAACCAACACACATACAATATACACATAATTCGTTGTTCATAAATTAAGAATCTATTTCTAAGCTATTGTAGCTTAAAAAATTGTGTACAATAATACTCTCCCGGACATATAACTCGAGCCACCTCGTATTTTCATTTTTAACTACAAATACAAAAATATAGTTATCATCGAAAGAAAACTTTTCCCTGGTTATAAAAATTAAAATTTTCGACAGGGACTTATGGAAATTATGTTTTTTTTATACGTAACACACGCCTATCCATGAGATTTGCTGTTCCATTAAAAGCTTTAAATCGCAACGATCTTAGGGTACTGCCACTGCGTCCGTCACCCTGAGACATAAGTTGACAAGTCTCATGTGCCTGTAATTTCACCAACACCGGAGCCCGTTACAGCTTGGCGGTAGTAATTGGTAACATGGCAGTACTTCCCTGGACGACCCCTTTCACAAGAAACTCTGCTGCTATTAGTAGCAGAGTTTTAAAACCAATTTTAAAATGGCGAAGTAGGTTTTGATCGTTTTTGATATTTGATAGTTTTTAAACGTTGTTTAAGCTTGGGATGAATATGAGGTGCATATATGCAGCTTTTTCACTGTCCTTTAAAATGAATTGAGCGTTATTGTTTGCGAAGCGACGATTTATCACTTCTATAAATTTTACATCGTTTATTATGAGTATATTATGTCGACCCTGGAAAATTAAAACATCTAACGTGCATTTGGAAAATATTACAGGAGAACGATTCAAATTATTATTCCATATAAAAACATATGGAATTAAGTTATATGGAAAAGCTGAAACTTTCTAGTTTTCCATATAACAAATAAAATTAGAGATATGATTTTTTTTCATGAAAGAATTACTTTTTAAATCGATCTCCTGTAATATATTATATCTATATTAAGGATGGTGGGCGCAGAGGCAGTGCACCTCAGATCTTTGCGATTTAAAGCTCTGAGTTTCACTGCAACTGTTATGGACAGGCGTATTATTTAGTATCAGGTGCACGACTTGTTCGTCCCATCACTTACTATCATAAAAAAATCTCCAAGCGCACGTTCAATCTTTTATCAATGTCGATCCTATAAATGATCCATATACATTTTCTGTACGGAATAAACTCAGTTGATAATAACTTGTATTTTCTATGACTCTGTCTAATAAATTAACAATAAATCATAGGAAATGAAATTATTTTTCCGGATTTAAATCGCGTATACTTGTTTTTTCTTACAAACCGACGTTTCGGGCCCTTTACAAGTCCCATGGTCACGGTTGACGGACTGAAACGTTGGTTTGTTTGAAAACACAAATATACGCGATTTAAATCCGAAAAAATAGTTTCATTTCCTATGTGTAATAAACCTAAGAACTCGATAACAATAAATCGCCAAGGTTTCCTTGCCCTCTCACGCCTCTACATTCACGTTTAATACGAAGTTCGTAGAAGTCATGGTAGATGGCACAAATATGACTGTGGAAATAGCATTCATTTTTCCAAAATTAACATTACAATAATCAATATATAACAAGAGCCTCCGAATTGTTAAGCACTTCGAAACGTGTTTGGTCATCCATAACTACAGACAAGTTTACAATTCCTTTTAGTCAAATTTAGCTTGGAACTACTTGTTTAGATGTAAACATACAAAAAAACCTGTTACTTCATTATATTCAACATTTACATATTATCATCATACAAATACTATATACTCCATAAAAATATGTTAAAAAGCTATTGATTTTGATGCAGTTTAATTTTTGAAGGTTGTTAATTTCTTGGCGGATTAAAGTTAAATAGGGGGCATATATTATAATCGGGAATCAAATAATTGTAGAATACACGACCACCAATTGAAAAATAACTTTTATTAAAAAGTCATGAAATGATGTTATCAAGTAAAATTTTATTGAAAACATTTATCACTTATCCCCTGGTGTCGTCAGTGTTTTGTAAACAGCGCAAAGAGCCATATCGAAAACAAATTCAAGAGAGCATGTTTTAGGTTGTAACCACTGTAATAAAATAATTACGTCCTTATTTAAATTCTATTTCAAACTTACAATAATTTTAAAACTTAAAATTCACTTCTCAAAAAAGGACGTAAACATTTTAAAACAATCGTGAAAAACAGTTCCCCCTGGAAAAATTTTTCAAAATGGCGCTTTCGCCTTATCTACAAAGCACTGACGATATCTCACAGTACTGTATGTATATATGTCGCAGCGATACTATCATAATTATCAACTGCTTTTATCTCTTACGATAGTAACGTCATAGTGTGAACAAAATTAAAACTAGATAACCTAAAAAATATGTTTTGAAGTGCTAATTCAATGTGGTGCAAGTTCTTGTGAACTTTTAATATCGTAATAAGACAATCTATTTCAAAATGAATAACAAATTCACATAATTCACGTTATAACTAACACACATAACTCATTACATGTTTAACAAGTTAATGACTCAATTAAGTTCATAATAATATTAGTACTTACATTTACTTTAAGATATTTATGTATTCCATAATTAGGGTCGCTAAGACACGCAGGTGGATTCAACTTTAACTTGAGTCCCAAAGGATCGCCAAAGGAGATGAGGTAAAAAAAGACATATATAAAGAAAGTGATAACATTGCTAAAGATAGTTAATAAATTTCCAACTATCAACCGGTGCGCGTACGTTACGATATTCATGGCGGCAAATTATTATAGACGTCTGACAAGCTCCGCGTTTATCTCCTTACTGGTGACTAGATACGAATCTTTTGCCCATCTTACATATTTAAAACTACTACTTACAAATGCCTTAGAACAGGATAAGAGTAGAAGCAATAGTTAAAATATACATATATA